GTGATATAGTAGAATAGGTGGGGATTTGGAAAAGTAATAGCAGAAAACCAATAAAAATTATTGGGGGGGGGGGGGGTTCAAACCATAAATTGCGCCCATCATATATGGTTAAACCCTCATTTGGGAGTATTTATTGGATAAATATGTGCCTATATGATAACTGCTTATCTTAATAGGGATAGTATTTATGAATGTTTGGTGAAAAAGAGTTTCTTTTAAATAGGGGTAGTATATGTATTTTAAAAATTACTTGATGGCCAAGACAGACCAGAAGAAATAAACACATTGAAAAAGCATCTAAAGATAAGTTGAAAAGTTTTGGCTTCTTCAAAATGGGCTTATTTCAAAAATAAGCAATTATTCAGCTTCTTTTCCCAAAACACACAAAAGTGCTTATAAGTATAGCCCCGACCTAAATTAAGTGCTTAAAAATAAATAAGGGAAAATTATAGTTTGAGCCAACTCAACATTTAAAATTAGGCTACAGGTTGGTTAAGAAACTGACAAAACTCTGACATCTGGCTCTACATTTCAAATTATAAAAATCCCTGTCATGTCATCTGAGGCCTATACCGAAATTGTCCTTAATGCTAGTTATTTGAAAATAAAGAAAAAATGGATTATCACTCTCACAGTTTCTTTCCCATTCCCTCTATCTTTTGCTCTCCCTCCCACTCTCTCACTCTAACAGTCGTCTCTTTCTTCTCAACGACTGTATAATTTGAAAATAAACAAAAATGGTTTTCGATTTCTATATTTACACCCTTTGTGTATGTGTGTGTGTTAGTCTATCGTTCTCCTTCGATCTCTCTCATTCTCTTTCTCAGTCAATCTCTCCTCCTTCATTCTCTCTCTCTCTCTCTCAATCTCTATTGTTCTCTCTTAGTCTCTCTCCCGCTCTCATTTTTTTTTCAATTTTTTTTACACGTGTATACTGTATTAATCAGATTCTATAATAGGGCATAAGACCAACCACTTGTAAAATCAAGTTATAAACTTCTTTCAGGTTGGTGTAAATTTCATAGTCAAGAGTTTCTTGTGAATTTTTATTAATTTGGGTTGAGGAAGTAAGAACCATACCAAGTTGGTATTATGTTCTTTAATACGATCTAGTTAATACCATAAGTGTGCAAGAAAAATAATAAAAAAAAAAGAATGAGACAGGGAGCGAGAGAGATTGAGAGAGAACAATAAAGATTGAGAGAGAGAGAGAGAGAGAGATTGATAGAGAGAATGTAAAATCATTTTTTCAAATCACGTAGTCTTTGAGAAAAGGGAGACGACTATGAAAGTGAAATCGAAAGGCAGAGGGAGTGGGAGAGAAGCTGAAAACCCCCTTTTTTATTTTCAAAACATTAAGGGCAATTTCAGTATTGGTTTTTTGTTGTGTCCAACATAGATTAAAAGTCTCATGTTGATAACAACCACATAAGCCTCTAATGACATGGCAATCAATTTCTAAGTATATGTTTGGCATCGATGTTGTAGATACAACACCATTTTCTCAAAAAACGGTGCTACTGATGTGTTGGTTGGAAGCACCATTTTCTGAGAAAACTATATATATATTTTTTTGTTTGGAAACGTTGTTGTCAAATAGGACATTTCCTGGAGCAACAACAACATTTTATGTTTGGTACCAATGCTCCAAGAAATGTTTTCAGCACTGGTACATATTATTCAGTGCCACATCATGTCCCTGTCACTGCCACCTCATGTCCTTATTGACAGCAATGAGTTGCAGGTTCAGAAAATGCCAAATTTGACATTGCTCTAAGCACACCTTCCTGATTTTCAAGGCATGGCTTGGAGTGCCCTTTTTTATATAGAAAAATAATTTCAAATAAACAGGAGTTTCATGGAACATCATTTTTTCTGATATAATGCTGATGTGTCACCATTTTCTAGAACAACGGCACTGATGCCAAACAGACGCTAAACCAACCTGTAGCATCATTTAAATGTTAGGTCAACTCTAACTATAATTTTCCCTAAAAATAATCACTCAAAAACTGGGCTAAACTTGTTTGCATAAGTACTTACTTGTTTTGTTAAACTTAAAGGAAGAGTCGAGACTGCCAACCGCACATAGAAGATGCCACCCTAGCAGCTCACGTGAGTGACAGTCCGTAAATTTGATTTTTGGTATTTTATATGACGAGTAGGGAATTTCCCATTAATTAATTTAGCCACTACAGTCTCCTCCCAAGTCCCAACTCCTAACTCCTAACAAAACAAAAAGTTAATAAATCCAAGTTTGGCAGGACGTTGCAAGCATGAATTGCTTCTCACGTGCGATATTTGAAAAGGGGGACCGCAGCACAAACACTAAACACAGGAGTTAGGACTGAAGAGGGGTGTGTAGACAGTGTGTACTGTGGTCTGTCTAAGCCGTAGTATGGCCATGAAGCCATCATCTATCTATTTATCTATTTTGGTGTTGGATCTGGAATGGGCTTTTTTAACATCGTCTGGCCCAAGCCCAACGTCCTTGCTGAGCCAGAGCCAGCTACGACTAATGGAATGCGCTTTCCCTATCACCTTCCATGTGTCACCTCACATATGGAAGATGTGGCAGTCGGATGGGGAAATTTTGGCGAAGGAAGGTGAGAATGAAAGCCAGAAAAAGTAAGGCATAGAAGGTGAGATAAGCGGATGTCGGTGTTAAATTTAGTGATGGTGCGTCCAGCGTCCCATTTTCGGAATCCATTTTAAAATCACTCCCTACTCCCTACTTTTGGTTGCTTAACACTTACCACACACTCTCTCACACAGCGCCTCACAACGACCTCATTGACACATTCCACCGTGGATCGGAAACATTTCCAGTACTTATGTATTATTATTTATGAGAGATGTTCTTAATACATTGAGATGTGCCTATTAAGTCGGTGTAAAGCAGCATGTGTAAGGAGCAGATCCGGTCTCCTTTCATCATCTCATCTCTATTTTTACCTTTTCCATTCCTATTCTACTCCTCGCTATATGTTACTTGTCCCGAGACACCCCACCCCTCCCCTCCCCTTTCCAATTTTCATACATCAATGTCGACAGCTCAACCATTTCCTTATACAGTTAAAGAATTAATAATTTATCAATTTATCGGGGGTTTATGAAAAGAAAAATGTTTCTTGGTTCAGGTAAAATACAAGCTTCGCCCGGTCGCCCGGTCCAGTCTATGGTCCATAACAAATACGAGGCCACGCCACCACCCTATGCCTTGATGACGTGGCCGAAAAACACCCACTAGACTGTTCAACCTCTGGATTCTTTCTATTTAACGTTTTCCTCAACCCATAGAAAACCTTCCAACTATTTTAGTCTTGGGCGTGGCTACGCAACAGGCTTAAAATTGGGACATGTGCTGTGGACTGTGGTGGTACTCTTGGGGCTTTCAAAAAAGAAAAAAAAATCACTTACTTTCGTATGTAATTGTTCATTAACAGAAAAACAAACATATCCGGAATGATTGAAGTTTGGAGGGGAAGCAGATGAAAACTGTGGTAGCTCTCGTATCGTAGGTGGCAGAGCTTCGTGGATCCGATGCCATGCCAACTTGCCAAGTGCAAGTAGTATGAACTGTGAAGTATCTAAGATGAGGGCCCAAGTGCAAGTGGTACTCATTTTAAATAGATGGAGCGCAAGGACCAAGTGTGGGGACCCCCTAACCCCCCTATTGGCTATTGCTTAGCTTGCCTCCTCTCCTCCCTCCTCTCCTCCCTCCTCTCCACCTATACCCTATTTATTTGTTGTAGCCTGTAGGAACAAGCAGGGACATTGGCCTCTGTTGTTATTGTTGTTTTTTTTTTAAATCTTTCATTGAAGAGTGAAGACCCACTGGTCAAAAAGCAGAGAAAAAATTAATTATTTAATAAAAGATGATAAGGAGAAAGAGAAAAAAAAACCCAGAACCAGAAACAGAGGGGGGGGGGGGCTTTCGATTAATTGCCAATTCCTTTACATGGATGGAGACCTTTTTCTTTTTTCAAAATCTTATTGCCTGATTAAGAAATCTTTAGCAACTAGATAAGTTAAAATATTATTATAATAACATCTAATAAGTTGTTAATTATTGGCATAAAGGGTTCTCAGTTCTCACTCCATATGAATAAAAAATAACCATTGGTTAACCTGGAGCCGTAAAGCAGGGTGTGTCGGAAGGAACGCCGTTTCCTCGTAAGCCCACAGTTTAAACTTTAAGGCTATCTTTGGTTTTGAAGGAAAATGTGGGGAAATGAAAAGAAAGAAAAAGCCCACAGTTCTTTGATATTCCTTTTTTTTTTAAGCTTCTTTTGATCTTTTCTTTTTCCCGATGACGGGGAGGGGGGGAAGGGCAGGGAAGGAAACACCTATAGACGAGTACTATAGACTATAGAGAGGTTAATCTTTTTTCTGTTTTATCGTCGACGGAAGAGAGGGAGAGGTGGCAGGGGTTGTCCTTTGTATAACTTTGAAAGCATTGGAGCTTAGGTTAAGTCCTTCTCGTCATTATAGCTATGTCTGACTCCATTTGCCATGAACTGATTCTAAGGGCATCGACGATAGCGACACGTCATTTCCCCCACCGCATCCGACGATATTTCCCAGAACCAAGTTGAGTCTTTTGTGTTGGGCTGGTTGCGCTGCAGCTGCTTGAACACCTGCTGCGCTGCTGTTTCAGTCGCTGCCTCATCTCTTCGGTCCTCGTCTTCTTCAGTTAGTTTTCTATTTATCATTTGGTGGGGACTGGGGAGGATGCGCTCTTCTAAGTTCTAACTTTGTCTTTTGTTTTTTACTTTTCTTATAAAGATAACAGTTTTAGTTTTGGGATTCCGCGCCTCCTAATTATAATAAGCTATTACGATTACTTGCCAACTCCTTCATTAAGGAATAAGGAATTAGTGTAATCTATCTGTCAGTTCCCAACTTTCAATTCAACGATTTGGAGAGAGAGAGAGAGAGAGAGCGCGCGCTACAGCCTACAGGTGATTGAAAATAAGAATAAAAGGACACGGAACACATTGGTTTTGCTAATAATAACAACAGTAATAATATAATAAACTATTAGACTGACTAAAGGTGCAAATCAAATCAAATCAAATCAGATCAGCAGTAGAGTAAGCAGTTAAAACAGAAAAAAATAAAAGGTCAGAATCGACTCTCATTGGGGGAGCTCCCGTTTGCTTGTTTGACTGACGAGTGACGACTAACATCGCTCGCTCGTTCGTTCCCGGTTCCCCCACCTAGTTCTCTCAAGTATAGAAAATTCTTTCGACCTTTTTACTGATCGGGAGTGACTAACAATTGGAACTGGGGTTGGAAGAGGACTGAACACTGAAACGAGAGAAATGGCTGACGCAGAAGGGGTCAGGTGGGTCCCGTGAGAGAGTGGAACCCGTTCCTCTGCAGCCAACTTATCTGCGTTGATGGGAATCCTGATGATGCTGCAGTGGTCGCCAACACTTGGGGTGAAGAACCAGCAGAAACCCAGCTAATACCGCTGCCTCGATGGTTCCATCCCGATGATTGCCGTTGTTGCGAATCGCCTGTCGCTAATGACAGACCACCTCCAATTTGCCCATCGCCGTCGCTGCAGCTCGGGAACTGAAAATCACAACAGGGTAAGGATAAATAATACAATCGTTATTATTAGCAACAGCGCCTTCAATCGATGAAGATATCGATCTAGTTCTGGTTCTGGGAACACCCACTTGACAATTGGGAGGATTCAAGTGTGGTTGCAGTATGTGGACCATTGGAGCTGGAGCGTCTCCGATTCTCCTGAACTGCCCATGTCTTAGCATCTCATTGGTCTTCATCGATAACGGGGACTGAATGTGGATTTGGTTCAGCATCCTGGTAGCCTCGCTCTCCCCGCTCCCTTCTCGTCTCTGAGACTGAGAACCACTACTGTTCCTACATCGCTCATCCTGCACCACCTTCAAAATTGTTACCCAACTTCTGGGGCTTCCGTCTAATAAAAAAATGGAAGGCAACTACAAGGGTTCTGTACTTGTAGTAGATCGAGCTCGCATTAACTAAAGAATCTAAGGCCACCCCAATATACCTTGGACCTAAAGATCCGGTTGTTGATCCCCCAATTAGGCTCGAATGGCGTTGACGAGGATCGTGGATCACCCACCCCCAATTCAGAACCATCTCGCTTCAGGGTAGAACTGCCCAAGCTTAAATCAAGATTGTGGCCCGCATCGTTTCCTGGGTATGATTTCAATTCGCATTACACATTTCATTTTATTTTTACCCAAAACAGAAGAAGAAAGAAGATAAAGAAAGAGAAGACTTAATTTTCTTTACTATACTTACCAGTAGAATTGAGTTCATCTTCGTATATACTCGGATCAAAGTTGGTCACAGCTTCCTTCCCGTTGCACTTGATTGCAGCTTTGTCATAAGCCCTACATGTTATCAATGAGCAAATAAACACTCTAAAACTGAACAACAAACAAATGAATAGAAAAGATAAGATCGATCAAACTTCTTAGGCCGTTGGTCGATCTGCCTGCAACAGCAGAACGCCATTTAGGACTCCAAATATCAGCTAAACATCAACCACGTGAAATACCTAGCTGCTTCAATTTCGGTGTCGAAAAGACCCAGGTAAACATATCTGTGTAATTGACATTATAAACGAAATTAATTAGAGCAAAAGCGAGAATCCTGACTATTCTTCAAGGAGAAGGAAGAAGGAAGAAGAAGAAATAGTAGTAGTAGTAGTAGTAGTGTGGTAAATTACTTTTTGCCCAAGAACTGGCCCATTCGAGCCTCCCATCTTCCACATTTGTGCAAAGTAACGCCTCTATATTTAGAGCTTCCTCTAGGAAAGCCAGTGCTTTGGCGGCGAAGTACATGGACGAATTCCTCCTTGGTTAGATTGCTCATCTGTCATCAATATCGCATTACAAGACCTCCTATTTCAAAAACAGTTAAATAATTTAAACTAAAACAAGGAGGCCTGACTACAACAGTATTTTTAAGAAAAAAAATTCCGAGAATACAAGTTCCATCCCTTCTGTCTCTCACCTGTTTCAGGTCTTCCTCATAATCATCAAGACTGAAATTTATATCCGCCTCTACTCCCCGGAACTTTATGGCTGCTCTGTCGTATGCACTGGACAAAAATTTCTCGGTTTCAAAACAGACAATCTCCAGAGAACTGAGAACTTTCTTATTTATGGATAAACAAGAGATGCTACATCTACATAATAATTGAATTGCAAGAATCACAGAAATTCGATTGTATGAAAGGACGCAGAAGCTTACCGAGCAGCTGCATGGGCTGTGTCGAATCCGCCTATTGCCCCCACAAGAGAAACATCCCAATATCAGTAACCATGAATAGTTTCATCCCACCCCAAGAAAAATAAAAACAAATATTCTTTCTAACAAAACAAAAATTAACTATTTTGCATACCCAAATAAACCTGCTTTCCACAGTCCCTGCATCAAGAGCAAAAGCAAAGAACATTGCGATTGGAGAGATTGCACAGGGAGTTGAAATTAAAAGAAGAAAAAAAGAGGATTATTTAAAGTCAAAGGGAGAGGAAAAGCACCATATGTGGGACTCCCAACGGCCGGTTCTCCTGTAAAAGGTAACGCCACGATACTGTGAGCTTCTAGACCTTGGCCCTCGCCGGCTCTTCTTCATGGGCTGGGATACTTCCATGGGTCTACCGGCAGCAAGAGGTTCCGACTGACAGAATTTGACGCCAACCCAGTGAGCTCGTGGCAAGGGAGCCGTAACAACAGCAGGGGGCGCCCCCATTTCCGGCTCCTCGACTGGAAAAAACTGACGGGTCATGACTACAGGTTCGCTCTCCGAAGAACAGTTGTCATCGTGGGTCACCGAGAAGCCGAAGATCTTACTACTCCTTTTCCGTCTTCCCCCGCGCTCGTCATCATCATCCGATCCCTCTTCTATAACCACAGCCGAGGAGCTCGAATTCTCATTGGAAACGGATCCGATGCCTTTGCCCTTGTCGTCATCTCCGTCGAAGGACGTCTTCTGCGAAGAGCAACCTTCGGATTCCTCCTCCCTCCTTTGGTCAGGCGAGTCGTTGAGATCCCACATGTTGCCTCCTCCTTCCTCTTCTTCTTCTTCTTCTTCTTCTTCTTCTTCTTTTTCTTCTTCTGCTTCCCCTCCTTTGTCGCTCGTGGCTTCCACAAGATCGAAGATCCAAGCTGCTCCGACCTTTCCTCGTATGAACAAAGAACAAAATAGGATCATCGATCATCTCTCTCCATTAAGACCGGAATTTGGGTTCTTGTCGGCAAAAGAAATCTTCCTTCCTTGCGCTCTATATAAATATATTCATAGAACCACACAATATCTCTGCATAATGTAATTGTTTATTTGAAAACTTTCTTTTTATTGATATCGGCCAGGTTTAAAACGAAAGCAAACCTAAGACTCAGAGCTGGTTGCAAAAAGGTACCCCAAGAACTCCCATCTCTCCAACTGCCCCAATACAGCATAGACGAGGCCAGTGTGAGAAAGCTTGGCAAAAAGCATCATCAATACCTGGTTTCTTTCTCTCTCTCTCTATCTCTCTTCCTGCCCCTATTTCAATCATTCACACACATTCATGGACTCTCTTTCTCTCTCCTCCACTACCCCCACCAAAACAAACTCATCTCTCTCGGTGAATGGTAGACTAGAGGGAAAAAAAAGTCCCAAGTGGGAAAAAATAAAAACAACCATCTCTTTCTTAGCCATATTTTCCCACATTAACCAAATCGAAAAGCATCGTCTCCAAATGACTTTCTTTGCCCACTAATAGAAATGACAAACTGGTCTACTTGCTTTTTTTTTTTTTTTGATAAATACTGGACTAATTGCTTAGAACTCGATTTTCGCCTCTCTATAATTAAATGCTTGTATTATCTCTCCTTAATTCGTTCATTTTTTTATTAATCACGTTACATACGTGTAAACAAAAAGTCCGAACCTGACGTCTACTGTGCATTTAAGCAAGCTTTCTTACTGTCCTTTTCTGCTCCTTTTATCCTTTCTTCTTTTTTTTTAATAATTATTTAATTTCTCTCTCACTCGGTGATCTCATCTCCCCTCTACGTATAAGACTATAAACTACACATGTACGTAAATACAGCAAATAGAAGGCCGAGCGGAGGGGGCGGGGAGGGGACCACCGGACCGGGGGTATTCTGGGAAGAAAGGGAGAATAATATTGACTCACTCGCACCCTGGTCCCTGGGGCTAGGGGGCAAGGGCAGTGTTGTGACTTGTGAGAGAGCTGGTGCTGGGCTTAAGAAAAAGGAAATGGGAATAATGGAGATAAAAGGAAGGGGTTTCCAGAAAAGTCCAATCCAAGAGTACGGGAGATGGCCACGTTGCTACTTTCGGTCTTTCAAGCGACCCCAATCGCGCTCCAGACCCACCCAGTCTACACCTCGTATTTAATGCCCAAACCTATTCAAATTTCTTTTTTTTTTATTAAAAAATAATAATTATAATACATAAATAAAAGAATAAGAAGGTAAAAAAAATTCTTATAAATGATGATCACAGGGTTAGAAGATGGCGGGTGTGTGTCAGCAGGGACAGGGAGGAAACAAGTGTGGGGCCCAGGAGATAAAGGGGCCACGTCATATCGCATCCAGACAAAGGCAACACTACTCAGCGCATCTCATCTCAGAGACGGGAAAAAACTTCCAATAATGGAAGCGGGACGAGGCAATCGTCGGCAACGTTGTCTTCCCCAAGTGGCAGCAGCACGCAAAATCGAAAATGGATCTCTCTCTCTCTTTTCCAATCGAGGTTGATAGGCCCATGCCCACCCAACCACATCCACATGTTCCCAGTTTCCCACTCTTCTCTACTTGTCCAACCCAGTTGCCACTGCCATTGAATAATGGATTCATCCCTCCGACCCTCCCTCTCTTTGCTGGTCTCTTATTCTGTCCCATTTTCCTACCTCCACCGATTTCCACCCTGCTGCCGTCCGATGCGTTGACTTTATGTTGTGTTTCAAGACAACGGCTAGGGAAGGTGGACCAAACAAATCGGACGCTTGGAATAACTCGTTTCACACAATTTCCAAGTTGCGTGGACTGTGGAAACCGGAAAGAAAAGTAGTTGACTTGATCCAACTTTATATCAACCAGACCGAATAGTACGATGGTATCATTTGTCATGTATGTATACAAGATGTTCCACGCATTCATTTATTCTGATCGTGAAAGCTTCATCATCAATCACCCATCATCACATCACTTCCTGGATGACGCGTGGAGGGGGACTAAGGGAGCAACTTATTAAGGTAGGGATGCTTCGTAGTGCACCGGTTGGTAGGTACATGGTTTTCAAAAGGGATTCCTCATCCAATCGCCGTCAGCCCCTATTCCTTGTCTATATGAATTACACCTTTGAACAAACCTGAGAAGAGATAGATGACCGGGACCCCACTCTCGTTTTCCCATTTTGCTCCTTGTTAAAAGTTAAAGTTAAAACCCCATAATCTCAGGTGCCTCATGCCAAGGGAACATCAGCTACCTAACTTTTACTTTTCTAAATTTAAATATTTGTACTTTTTTATTTTAATTATTTATTATTTTTCTAAATTTAAATATTTGGTCTATTCCACTTAACACTGATGGTTAAAACATGTATGTGTTTGGAATCATTGATGTTTATTTACTAAATGCTTTGTATTTAATTTGTTTGAAAATTTCAGAAAAATAATAATGAATTCGTTTATTGATACATAGATACCATTAGACACAACATCAGTAAAATAGTCAATAGTAAATACTTATCAGTTAGGAGAAACTTCATTTGCAAGTCACTATGCGTATGAATTTATATAATATAATAGAGGAAATGCTGAAATAATGCCTATATAATAACATTTATTTAATAAACGCCCACCATTTCAATTTTCAAACATCCTCTAAGTCTCTCTTTCTCATTTCCTATAGTTTGGAATGATAATATTTCACACGATACATAGGATTGGATTGGCTTTACCTTAATCGTGTTAATCGAGTTTTATCAAAATTACGTGGGTTCACTTGTTTAACACGATTAAAAGTGTGTTAATTTACACATTTTATTCAAAAATGACTTAAAATTTATGGGGGTCGTATCAACCCAATTATTAATATGACTCATTTAAACTTCTTGATTTTTAATCATGTAACATTTAAAAAATATGTTCATTGGACCAAGAATTCAGATGAGATAAAATGTTTATATTACCATTGTAATTTGTTTATAATTTATTTTAAGTAGATTAATTATGTTGATTTCATGTCAATTTGGATTATCATGTTGTATCGTATGAATAGAAAATGATTTATTTAAATAAATATATTATCTGTATAATAAATGATTTATTTAAACCAACCCCCAAGGTGGTTGGACACGTGGCAACCATAAAGGCATTACGCCTTGGCCCACGAGCTAGACCTTGGTGGGTTGACACGATCTCATGGCAGTCGAGCCCATCTCGGGTGGTTATAGGTCACCTCGCTCCACTTTGCCTCGTACAGTGTACTGTTGATGAGGAGACGGGATCTGTTCCTCACAAATGGGCTCTTCACATGCATATCCACCGTGCATACGAGAGATGTTCTCAATGCATGGTAGGATGTGAGGTGCTAGGTGTGAGGAACAGATCCGGTCTCGTTGATGATGAGACGATCTCATCCCATGCAAGCTGGCTATCGCCATCCGAAGAATTCGACTAAATTAATAGCTTGGAGCATAACACGAGCTACAGGCAACAAAAGGCACTACGTACCGAGGCGAGCTGCGTTGAAAGGGGCATATTCGAGCTGAGACCGGATCTGCTCCTCACACAGGGCGCTTTACACCAATCTCAAGCGTAGCATTGGGAATATCTCTCGTACTTATAAGTTATTAGTTATGGGAGATGTTCCTAATACATGGTGGATGTGTCTGTAAGGCGCCCATGTGTGAGGAGCAGATCCCGTCACCACATATGTAGAAGGCATCCATCCTGGCAGTTCAATTTGACGACATCATCAACATGAACGTGTTCTGATGAAGGGTGATTTGGCCCCGACCTTGTAATAGGGGGACATGTGGATACGACCTAACTAGTATGATGACAACTCAGCCGGACATGCCAAGTCCGCAATAGATCGAACTCGGATAATCAAACCACCTCGAGACGAGTTCACCTCGATGTAAGGTCACATCAGGACCACCTCGATCTCGAGGCACTTCGGCGTTCACCCCAGGTCGGGTCTAAAGAGCACTAACTCAGGTAATACTAACAGACCACAACATGGAAACTGCGAAGATCTCGCCATCAGATTTCGAGCCTCGCGGGATCACGCCTCATAACAGTAAGCCTTACCTCCTCCTCGCCCGGTTCGGGCAGAATTGATAAGCCCTATCAATTATCCCCCATTAACGCGAAAACGGATCTCATCGTGACGAGGATGCCAGAACTCTCCGCGAAACCCGCGAGGACTTCACTATATAAAGGCTCTACCATCGGAGGCCCAAGGTACACGTGATTTCTTTGCACTCTAGCTCTCTACACTCTAAAGCTTTTCAGCTCGCAACCAAGTATAATGACTTAAGCATCGGAGCGTCCTTGTCGGGCAAACAACCCCGAGTTCTCTTATTCTACTTTTGCTGATTGACCTAGTCCGCCGTTTACTGGAAGCCAGATCACCTCCAGCAGGGAGTAGTCAGATCACGCTTCATCATTTGGCGCCGTCTGTGGGAACTCGCTACAAAAAGCCTCTTTCCACCAACAATCACAGACTCAAATCCATGTCATCCTCCAGCAACGTCGGACTAAACAACGAAATGAACGTCTCCGGGGGGCAGCCTCAATTCCCTTCTACCTGCATCCGTCAGTTCACGATCCCGCTTACCGCGGCTAGGGTTCCAACGCTGACCGCGCCCTAAGCAACCAAGCAAGTGAACGCACCACTCCCTCCTGTAGTCGGCGCGACGTTTGCTGAACCGTCTGTGGTTCCCCTAGAGCCGGAGAGTCCCAACTTGACGACCTGGCACTGTGTTCGGGCCATTTAGGTCCAAATGCAATAGGTCCAGCAATATCAGCTATACCAACAGCAAGTACTTCATCAGTTCTATCAGCAATAGCACCAACAGCAGTTCCCTCCGCTACAGCAGAATCAGCAGTCGGTTCCACCTTGGCACCTGACAGCGCAACAGAATCAGCCCCATCGTCAGAACACTCTCCCTCCTCGCCGGGGAGAGACTTCCCAGGTTCCACATCCTCTTGGGAGCCAGGTCTCGTCCTGCGGCAGGAGGGACAGACAAGTCACTCCTCCCGCTTCGCAGAACATGAACAGATCGAGAGACACTCAGCTCGCCAGAGCCATTTCACCCCGGCCCTCGCATCATGAAGGTTTGCTTGCAGGGAACCGGTTCAGGGTCCTGGTCGCAGACTCTAGGCGAGGCCCTTCCGTTCACGGCAACCAACATCAGCCGTCCGAGCCGCTCCGTGCCAAGACAATACCCGACCACACAGAGGTCAGTAGCACCAATGTGGAGCCGGTCAAGAAGTAGCAAAGAAGGCGTCGTAAGGCACGCCGAACTGCAGTTCCAAGCCAGCTCACTGGTCCTAGTCAACCTGAGCAGCTAAAAGGTAAAGAGGAGGCGAGATCAGAAGCCAAAAAGACCGCTCCCCTCCTCTCCGGGTCATCCCCTTTGTCCTTCGAGCTCCTGGTGACCCCAATGCCGAAGGACTTCAAAGTGCCTCCGCTGGACGAGTATGACGGATCGTTCGATCCAACTAACCACGTGGACTCATTCCA